TGAAAATAAAATTAGGTAAATAATTATTGGTGGAATTTAAATCAGGGGGGTTGAAGCATCAAAAGTAACCAAGTAACTAAGCTGTTTTATGGATGGTAACTGTAATATTATTACTGAAATCTTATTAGTGTTTAGTTACACTACTAGTTACTGCAAAAAGTAATATTATTATAGTAACTAAGTTACTAGTAACTAGTTACTGCCCAACACTGTGCATCAGTCACTTTAGAAAGATCAGATTTCAGATTTTCCTGAAAATGCTGACCTTCATAGGAAGGAAAAATTATTAGAAAAATAAGAGATTTATTTTGTAGCTTTAATCTAATGAATAGTAAATGGGTTTGTGCTTGATTGTCCTTGATACCCTACACCAGGGTAATACTAATATTTCTCCATTTAGTAAAATGCCATATTCCTAGAGTGAATTGTTTTAAAACAGAATGTGCTGTGGATCATATTTCAAAGCTAAACCAGGCATAATGGCTATTCGTTATGTTTTTTTTAAAGCAGTATTTTTAAAGTATCATACAGTATGTGATGTTAGAGTGAGATCTCAGACGTCATCTGACATGGTAACGAATTGAATCCAACCTGAAAGAAAAGCACGGCACAGTGAGCCGATGTCATAGGTGTAACCATGGCTACCGCACTTCAAGACTCCTTAAGATTCACTTTGGTTTTAATCAAACGTTCATTATGAGAGCATTCACTGTTCAGTCTTTATGAGACATGTACAGCTCAGGTGTCATGTTGAGAGTTCAATTGTAATAAATGTTGACAAATTAGATCAGACTCCAGCAGGACTGAATGACAGTCGCGGCACTTTCATGGTGTAATCAGTTCATGGAGTAACCTGATTGTGGACCGTAGAGGAGTTTGTTGGCCTAAATGTAGCAGCACTATTAGACTGGCCTCCCTCCAGCTCAACAAAAGATGACAACCAGAACACTCATCTTGGTAATCTCTTTCTACCTGTCCTCAGGCACTTTATCTTTATACTTTGACAGGAGGTCAGCTAATAACCTCTCAATATGAAGTGCAATATCTGAGAGAACAAGCAGTCATTTTCTCCCCCATTTCCCACTTGTCTCTTCTCTCACACTTTTGATAGATGATCTCTTTTTCGGGAAGTTTGAGACAGCTGCAGTACTTCCTTTGCTTATTTCTCTCTTTCTCTTTTTGTCTCCCAGAAGGGGGGCTCTGTGCATATCTCGGGACAGTTACGGGTGGGTCAGGTGATTCTGGAGGTGAACGGCGTGTCACTTAAAGGCATGGAGCACCGGGACGCGACTCGGGTCATTGCGGAGGCCTTTAAGACCAAAGACAAAGACTATGTTGACTTTTTGATCGCTGAGTTCAACTCTGCTCTGTAGAAGTCGTCCCTCAAGCGTTTCACTAGACGCCACTGCAAAGACCTTGCACTTTATGTCAAGTCCGCACGAGGGGCTGAATGAGTCATGCTTGTCATATCTGAGTCACAGTTAGGTTAGAGAGTTCAAAAGCTGCAACACACCCACCTTACGTCTGTGTTCTCGCTATAACAACAAGCAGTTGCCACACACGTTCACTGAACACATTCCCAGTATGTTCTAGAGGATGATCTGCAGAGCCAAGACTGTTGGTAATGTTTGATAGGACGAGGTCAGGGTTATATCAAGTCTGTCAATTCTGTGCCATATACGCGTGCGCGCGCACACACACCACTCACACACACACACACACACACACACACACACACACACACACACACTAACTAACTAACTAACTAACTAACTAAACTAACTACCATTATAATTTGGGGTCTGTATGTTTATTTACTCTATACAGCCATTACTCTAGTCTTTATTCTCAAATAATTTTTTTAGAAATCATTCTGATATGCTGATTTGGTGCTCAAGAAAACATTTCTTATTATTTCTTATTATTATCGATGTTGAAAACAGTTGTGCTGCTAAATATTTTCTTTGATGAATGAAAAGTTCAAAAGAACAGCATTTATTTGAATTTTTTTTTTTTAAATATGACAATATACAAGTCTTTATTGTCACTTTTAATCAATTTTAATGCATCTTTGCTGAATAAAAGTATTAATTAAAAAAACTTACTGACCTCAAACGTTTGAATGGTAGTGTTGTGTATATATCATCAAATCATTCATTCATTTCAATTCATATTTATTATAGCTAATACACAATATATACAGATTTGCTACTACAATTCTTAACAGAAAATCACATATCATTTTAATCAAATTATCAAATGGTGTAGTCTTTGTTTTGAAGGTGTTTTGTTACTCTTCCTTGATTCCGAAGGTGCTTAACATATTTTATGATGAGAGGAACTGAATTCAGTGGAAGTAGTAAAGCGAAGTGATATTAGTACACTATTATTGTAATATGTGAATGGAGATCTGAGTTATTCCTGGACAGATGGAGAGAGCAGGAGGATTCTAGAGTATCTCCCCTTTTTTTCTTCTCTCTCTCTCTCTCTCTCTCCCTCCCTCTCTCTCTCACACACACACAAATCAGCCTGTTTTTTTTAAAGATCTTATATCTGTGCATACTTCAAAGACGGGTAATAGAGAGGTATAATGAAGAAGTGTATAGCAGTATTTTTTGAATAGATCAGATGTGCAGTGTTTCAGTTATATGTAAATGCATGGCTCCTGATTATGCAACATACAGAGAGAGTTATTGTACATAGGTAAAATAATGTAAAGCTGTATATATTTTATGTAATATATATTTTTTGCACATACTGTTGATATAATGTTTTCAATGACTACATCAAAAACATCAAAACCTTTAAATATGAAACCAAACATCACCACTTAGAATAATAACATATATACGCATATTAGTTTTTCAACCCCAAAGGATGTTCTGTGCAGATTATGCAGATAGTCTGTCTTTAAGTTTATAAAGAATTTTTGTTTATTTGTTGCTTGTCATTTGTTGTACTTTGCAATGTGAAACACACATAATATAGTAACTTTACAGGAACTAAATTATCATATAGGCTGATTGCAAAGCAACACTGTATAAAGACAGCGCACAATCCGAGGGTATCAATATAATGCCTGAAAGATGTATGATTTATCCCAAACTGGAAAAGAGACTTAAATAAATATTTAAAGATTTTTTTTTAAATATGACAATATACAAGTCTTTATTGTCACTTTTAATCAATTTTAATGCATCTTTGCTGAATAAAAGTATTAATTAAAAAAACTTACTGACCTCAAACGTTTGAATGGTAGTGTTGTGTATATATCATCAAATCATTCATTCATTTCAATTCATATTTATTATAGCTAATACACAATATATACAGATTTGCTACTACAATTCTTAACAGAAAATCACATATCATTTTAATCAAATTATCAAATGGTGTAGTCTTTGTTTTGAAGGTGTTTTGTTACTCTTCCTTGATTCCGAAGGTGCTTAACATATTTTATGATGAGAGGAACTGAATTCAGTGGAAGTAGTAAAGCGAAGTGATATTAGTACACTATTATTGTAATATGTGAATGGAGATCTGAGTTATTCCTGGACAGATGGAGAGAGCAGGAGGATTCTAGAGTATCTCCCCTTTTTTTCTTCTCTCTCTCTCTCTCTCTCTCCCTCCCTCTCTCTCTCACACACACACAAATCAGCCTGTTTTTTTTAAAGATCTTATATCTGTGCATACTTCAAAGACGGGTAATAGAGAGGTATAATGAAGAAGTGTATAGCAGTATTTTTTGAATAGATCAGATGTGCAGTGTTTCAGTTATATGTAAATGCATGGCTCCTGATTATGCAACATACAGAGAGAGTTATTGTACATAGGTAAAATAATGTAAAGCTGTATATATTTTATGTAATATATATTTTTTGCACATACTGTTGATATAATGTTTTCAATGACTACATCAAAAACATCAAAACCTTTAAATATGAAACCAAACATCACCACTTAGAATAATAACATATATACGCATATTAGTTTTTCAACCCCAAAGGATGTTCTGTGCAGATTATGCAGATAGTCTGTCTTTAAGTTTATAAAGAATTTTTGTTTATTTGTTGCTTGTCATTTGTTGTACTTTGCAATGTGAAACACACATAATATAGTAACTTTACAGGAACTAAATTATCATATAGGCTGATTGCAAAGCAACACTGTATAAAGACAGCGCACAATCCGAGGGTATCAATATAATGCCTGAAAGATGTATGATTTATCCCAAACTGGAAAAGAGACTTAAATAAATATTTAAAGACTGAATTTAATGCCTGTAATTGATTGATATTTTTATTTCTTGGTTAAATCATACCGTTTGTCAGCCAGAAATATGTTCATCTGGCTCTGTTCTCTGATGAAGTAGTGTTTTGGCGCCCTCATGTGTTCAAATGAAGAACATGGTTTTAATTTCCAAGGTTTGCGGTGCTATATTTAAATGTATTATACTGTACCTATTAAATATATTATATCTCCACCTATTATGCCATATATTTTTGTTCAACTTTTTGTAATTAATTTAGCTATTTTTGCAATAATGTGACACCATTCAAAGTCTTATTTTGAACTTTATTATTTTTGAACAGTTTAAAAATGTCTTTAATAGTAAAATGATGATGAGACTGAGTTAAGGTAGAGTTGATTTTTTTTCTTCCGATTTGTGCTTTTTTTATTCTTATATCAACATATTCACCTGTTATATATGTCTATAAACATTCAAATGCATCTGCCTCAAAACCAAATGAATATTATAACTGAACTATAACTGATCTATGTATTTTCTATCATGTTATGAGAAATACCCTAATGTGTGATGTGCATGGCATGAAAACTCTCAAATGTCGTAATCACGAGATGTTTAACAGAAGCCAGTTTATTTTACTATATGCACAAGACAATAGTTTGCACTTCATAACCTCTGATGTGATAACATGTTACATATATTGAAATATGGCATATAGATTGTATATTTACACTGCATGAATTTGTGTTCTTAGTGTAAATAAATAACAGATTACAACATAAGAAGCAATCATGCTACATTACTACACAAGGAACAGTTATTCAGTGCTGAAGATGTAAAACAAAAATAGAAAGTCAACAAAGGAGGCTTTACTATATTAAAAGCACAATATGTAAGATTTTTTTTATTAAAATGTCCAAAAACCACTAGAACAGTGTTATATATTTTGCTGACTTGTTACATTATCCCAAATGTTTCAAAGAATGTTTAAATACAGAGAAATACGCAATTTTAACTAGTGACACGGAGTGTGTCCATGGTGTCATTGTGTCGCCTGCCAATGACGCCATAACCCCTCGATTTCCGGTTTTGTTTTGTACAAAAATGGAAACAGCAAAGACGCTTTAATATGTTGTGCATTTTAATAGACCGGTGACGACCGCACAGAGTAGCATTATAACAGAACTTTCAAACGTATCTAGTACGATAAAACAGCTGCTTTTTTCCCCCCCACATAAGCATGACCAGAAGAAGCGGAAGCGGTCGACTGTGGCATAATAAAAGC